GTCTTCCGGCGCATGAGAATGCCTCCTGCGAGAGGGAGCCGCGGTTATCGTCAGTGAAGGGGTAGGCGTGCCGCTGCGCATTAAGACTCCCTGTGGGGTCATCGAGCGGAAGCGCTCGCCATGTTTCACTGGCAGGGAAGGCGCCACAGAAGCCTCGTCAAATTCGTGGTCTTCAGAAGATACTAGGTGAATGCGGGCAGGAATAGTGTTCAGTATCGAGCTGATTTTCTCATCCAGTTGATTCTTCGGTTTCCTCATCTGTTTACTGGGAGTTGGGGATCTAGATGTTCCCTTCCTTGGAAAGCTAGCGTCTCCCAATGACCGCGAGTTGGAATTGTAAGCACCAATGTTCTCAAGGCTAGGATGTGTAGTCATTTGCTTTCGTATCCGGACGGCGTMGTTACGAACAGTAGGTTTCGATGGAGGGCTTGGAATGACAGAGTTTCTTGCAAAAGCGTTCGTGTTAAGTGCCCAGGCTTTAGACGGCTTAGGGGTAGCGTCATCGACTTCCGAAGTGGATTGTCTTCTTTGAGAAAGTCCCAGGTGCTGACTTGCGAGGAGTTTCAAGTTATTAGTCGGCGCGGTTGCGCCATCCTTTGGTGACTGTAAGTCCGTAGCATGCTGCTCGCTTTGAGGACGCAGGTCGACGGAAGCATCTGAGGCTCGCCGATTGCTGAAGGTACCGGTCAAATCATCTCCAGTCTCGCTCTCGTACTGCATGTCAAATCTTTCATTGATGAATCTTTGCAGAGGAAGGCTCAGGGCCCGGTTATGCGACATGGTTGGATTAGGGACTTTCTGGTTGTCCAACCGGCGCAAGCGCTCCTCGCGCAGAGTATGGTCGGTACCAACAGATACATAATCAGATGTTTGTGAAAGGTCTTGGAACGGTGGTGGTGTTTCGAGAAGCAGCGGTGTCCCATTCGATGACGCGGTGCGAGGTTCACGGATGCCAGGACTAGAGGTAAGGGAGGGATAATCCGACAGGGAGCCCGCAGATGCGGTAGAAGTTCGTCGAGCCCGCGATTTTGGGTTTTCTTTGCCAATATATAAGCTCTGAGGCCTGGTCTTCGAAAGTTTGATCGGGCTTTCCAAGCGAATCTTGGGTGGAGGAGCCGTCTCTGAGGCCTGTTGTGGTTCGCCGGTGTACACGGCAGATTCCTTGTCATCGCGAGAATTAGACACTGGCTTCGCAGGTTCTGGCGACGAAGTTGTGGACGCGGAAGGTGACTCTTCTCTCTTGAGTGACATAGAGGTAGAAGGCGCTCCAGTTGTAGCTGCTTCGGCTATGACGCTTGCCGGAGCTGCTGTTTCATTTTCAATCGGTGACGATTTCTCGGAACCAAACGGGTCAACTGCTCGTCCTGTAGCTGCACTCAGGCCCTGATGGTCGAGCCTGTTGTCTGTGATTTGTTCAGCCGCAGCTATCTCATCACTGAATGCAATTTCCGTCAAGTTGCTCGAGACCGTGGGAGCAACCTTGTCCTTTAATGATCCGACAGAAAGTTGGCGATCAGAGTCAGAAGGCACCGCGACAACGGGTAATCCCTCTGAAAATTGTTTCCTTCCTTCCTGAATGTTGTCTTCAGTTGTAGTGCTGCTTGTTTGGTGCTCATTGATGCCACAAACAGCATCAGTCCGCTCCATCGATATGTCTGTCGCAGGTAGCGGGGGTGTTTCCGACTCTGGAATCCGGAAGGAATCATTCTTTAAACTGGCAAAGCTGGGTTCTTCTGGGGGTGCATTCTTGTGCTCGTTGTAAATGGACTTCGCCGCCCCTGTAACGATAGATGGTACTTCCTGAGCAGATACAGATAGGTGCGAACCGCACAACTTCTCCTCAACATGTGAGACAAGCGATGTATTCCCTGGTAAGAGTTCAGACGGAACAGATAAGGACTCAACTGCAGGCCGGTTTGCCATAAAATGGTCATTTGTCAGGGACCATTGAAGGTCACGAGGCACCTGATGTTTCTTGGTTATCGAGCTTGTGTCGTCCGTCTCTTCTCCCGAAGATTGCTCTATGGAAGCCGGACGTTCCTGTTCGGGAATTTGTGGCGCCGTAGCATTTTCATGGGTTTGAGCTGCAGCCTTTGTATTCTCTTCAAACGATACCTTCTCTGAAACGGCGTCAGATGTGTCAGGTAGAACTCGACGAACGCAAGGAGCCGAATGAGAAGAGGGGTCGTTCGATGCCTCGTCTGAAGATCCTCCAATAGAATTATCGGAGGAGTCTCCTGAGAAGCTTTCCATGATTTCCGAAGACTCCGGTTGACACAAGTACAGATCAACGGGTGATACAGTATCTATCACGATTTTGATTGTACTTTGTTCTGGAGACTCATTTTCTAGCTCTGCACCCTCTTTTGTTTCTGATGCAGCGTCCGTGGTAGGTGCAGACAAACTCATTAACTCACTCGGGTCAAGATGGCATTGCGAGGGATCTGAAGTATTGAGCACCTGTTCAGAGTTTTGATTGTGCGTAACAGGATCAGAAATAGCATCCACCAAAGAGTGATCATCGTCACCTTCGTTGATGGTTTCCATAGGAAGCGAGCAATTGGATTGCGGGAACGGGTCTGATGATTCTGCAACTGAAGGTTCAGAATCTTCTTCTTCAGGAATGTTTGACAGCCGATTCTGTTTATTCTGCACACGTTGAGCTTCTTTTGATTTACTCGTCGCCGTCCTCAGGCGTAGCCATTCATTCTCAACCGTACGCTTTTCAGCTTCCATAACCCAGGTGCTAAAATCAGACTCAACAGCCTCCAGCTCGTCAATCCAGCTTTCCGGGAGTGAATCCTCTCGACCCTCGAGCGCGTCAAGGACGCTATCCATTCGTCTGCCGGCCGAGAGTACCATCGCCTCAAGTCCAGCTCGCTTGGCATGATAGTTTTCTCTCGAATAAAGGGGATCATTTTCAGAAGGAGGAGCAGGAGCTCTCAACAGATCCATCGCAGAATCCACCTCGGACCGAGCAAGATGCAAAGCTCGTAGTAGGCCTGGAATCTGGCGAAGCACTAATAGTCGAATGTCCCATGTCGTAAGGAGGCTATTCAGCCGAGACAATAGAGGAAGGGCTCGAAGAATGGTGGCGGTGATGACGGCAGTAAAATCGCTCAATTGAACGTAGGTCAGAGGAGGAGGCACGGACACGGTGCTATTGGATGACGAGGGTCGAGACCGCGCTGGAATGTGGGCATTGAGTACATGTTCCTTGAGTTCGTCAACGTCCAAAGTTTCCATTCCATCTCGAATCTCTTCAATGCGATCCTCGTGCTGCTTAACAACAACTGCGGGCAGGCTGCCATAGTAGACTTCTTTCTCAGAATCGGTACTTCTCGAAGAAGGTGGCATGAAACCTTTTCCTAGTTCAGCATCGGCACGCTTCGGCCAGACCCATGCCTGCAGCTCCCGATACCACTCGCCGAGCTTCTGAGCTGCTATAGCCGCGCGGATTCCTAGGGCGCGTTCCGCCGGGGAGACTTGTGAAATACTCTTCCAGAGAATATCATGAGCAGCTTTCTCATTCTTTGGTACCGCATCGGTGGAGGTTAGCGCGAGCAAGGTGGACTCCGGAGAGAGGTTGCTGAGCAACGGGTCAATTGTTTCATATTTCGGAGCAGCAGAACGGTCGGGAGATCGAGATAATGAGCGTTCACGATAATGATGAGATTCGGTGGGAGAGAATCGGACCGACGGGCGAACGGGGCTGACACGACTGGTTGCCATTTCGGGAAAGGGGTCGTCACCAGCTTAGAATCGACGGCTCACAAAAGGCCAGGAGGAAAGATTACCGAGGAGTGAATGTATATTTCAAGAGACGGAGGTCGAGATGCGGTATCAGTGATGGTAGGAGAGAGAGAATACCGCTGAGTGAGCATGCTGAGGCGCGATCCCGCTGAAGCTGAAAGAAGGCGTATGGCGAGGTTGGTGTATAGGGACTGAAAGCGAGAGCGTACGGAGTAGATTGAGCAGGACCGAAGTATAGAGGAAGTGGAGCGGAGATGATTCGCAGGAACGAGAGATAATTTATGACGATAGTGAGAGACAGGATGAGAAGGAAGAAGAGTTGGCAGGTCGGATAGGTCACAAAGGCACTGGGACTGGGGATATTATGAGGTTGGTCGGGGGAAACGAGGGAAAGGCTGAGATCGACCAAGTCGGGGTGGCTGCAGCAGAGGGGAAACGAGTGTAATGTCGGAGACCAGCTCATTAATATTGGGGTCTCAATGACGGAATTGATAACAACCAACCATTTGCATCAGGAGTAGCAGCATTATCTGTGCATGCATGGAGAAAAGAGGAAGAGAGAGTTTTGATGGTGTTGTTGTTGGTGACCTGGAGACGGAGATCCCTAAGCTAGCTAGCTACCTTAGCTACGTTAGTAAGGGTTGACGGCGACGCGCGGATACTCAAGTGGACCTTACTATTCACTAGTAGACTAAATACTTACTAGCTATCTAGGCAATTATATCAGGGGGTTTCGCTAGGAGAAAGTATTTTTGGATGGCTCCCCATTAAAAGGCACTAAGAATTTCCCATTAGGGTATTCTGTATTTGTAGTTGCTGCATGGAGTAAGAATTTCCATTAGGGTATTCTGTATTTGTAGTTGCTGCATGGAGTCCTGAAATGCATCCTGCACTCGGTTTCTGCCCGACGCGTATGCTGTTTACTTATTTATCACTATAGAGACTCATGAAACATACATATTGACAGCTGCCTCTCACTCGATCCATGCATCTGCAGATGACAGCATCAACTTGGCTCATTATGCGGTCAATATGATGGCCTCTGGCATTCAAGTCCGCCCATCCTACTCCATAATCCTCATTCCACGCGATTACCAGAATGCCTCAGTAGCCCTATATCCCTTCTTTCTCGTCCCAAATCCAAATACCCCGATCGATAGAACAAAGATTGCTTTCTAGATCTTGAATGGCCCTACCCCTTGCATGACCATCCCCAAGCCCATCTTTCGTCTCTTTCAGGTACAGCAATGGAAAAAGGTCTCCGCACTCAACCCGACCTTCTCAGCGGCGCACCAGAGAAACTGGTCGTTGCGCTTCAGGAACTGGAGGAACTGTTAGCTGTGGACAAGTTTCTGCTGAGGAAGATCACGGGTCACTTAGTCAAGGAATTGGAAAAAGGTTTGGAACCTTGCAAATCAGCCTGGAAAAGATTTTAGGAATCATGGTGAAACGACGTCGTTATTCTTCGATGTCCATACTGACGAAGTCCTCAAGGCCTAAGCGCAGAAGGAGGTGATATCGTTAGTGAGCTTGCTAGATTTGAATATCTTGGTTTTTTGCTCTGAAGGGACCCCAACTGATCGACATCGTGCCATAGCCAATGAACGTAACCTGGGTCATGGGCTATCCAACTGGCAAGGAGCAAGGAAAGTTTTTGATCCTCGATATGGGAGGCACCAACCTGCGCGTAAGTCAGGCGGAGCTTTTCGGTAGCGATCGCGATATGGAGTCCATCCAGGAGAAGTACAGTATACCCCAGTCGATCAAGCAAGGTACAGCCGACGACCTGTGGGATTTCGTGGCGGACTGTGTGCAGAAGTTTCTCCAGTCACGGCTCAGGGAAGACGAAAGATCGAAGATCTTGCCGCTTGCCTTTACGTTCTCCTATCCCGTCATCCAGTCCTCTATAAAAGTCGGAGTCCTTCAGCGTTGGACGAAAGATTTCTGCGTATCTGGAGTCGAAGGTCACGATGTCGTCTTTCAGTTAGAGGCTGCTTTCGAACGGAAGGTGTGTCCCCTCGTTATTCCTAGCCAATTGCAAAGGCTAGAAAATGACGTATTCTCTTATCGCTCATTTGGCTAGCGAATTCCCGTCCGAGTCGTGGCTTTGATCAACGATACGGTCGGGACGCTCTTCGCCGCGGCGTATGGAGACCGAGAGGCCAAGATCGGCAGTATAGCAAGCACCGGTTGCAACGCTGCATACATGGAAGAGGTTGGTGCAATCCCAAAGATCCAAGGCTGCGGGCTACCAAGCGATGCTCTCATCGCGATCAACACCGAATACGGTGCCTTTGATAATTCACGCCGCATACTGCCGCGGACACGATTCGACGATGAAATCGATCGGACATCCGCGCATCCTGGCCAGCAGCTCTACGAGAAGATGGTCTCCGGGCCTTACTTGGGGGAGCTGCTCCGACTGGTGATGCTGGAACTGCACGAAGCCAAACTTCTCTTTGTAGGTCAGGATGTTTCGTGCTTGCGCCAGCCAAATGCCCTGGACGCCTCCCTCTTCCCAACCCTGGAGGAGGACATTACCGAGTGCATGGAAAACGCCCGTAAGTGTCTGTGGGAGAAGATGGGCCTTGATCCAGCTCCGCACGAACTCAAGACCTGTCGGTACCTGGCCGAACTGGTTGGATCGCGTGCTGCCCGTCTCTATTCATGCGGGATTGCAGCGATCTGCCAGAAACGGGACATCGAACGCTGCCATGTCGGCGTTGATGGCTCAATTTTTGGTCATTATCAGAATTACCGCAAGCGAGCGGCGCAGGCCCTCCGTGATATTTTTGCATGGCCGGATGACCTTGAGGATCCGATTGTGTTTGGATTCTACAAAGACGGGTCTGGAGTTGGCGCCGCGTTGATCGCTGCGTTGGCTGTCGAGAGATCGGATGGACCTCTCCTTAGCAGGACAGAATAGACTTTAACCCTTAACACGGGATCATTTCCCCATCTTCTATTGCAGTTTGCGATATTTTCAGCCTCTGTCAGTCTGTAGCAGGTGAGAGCTATCTACGTAAAGCAAAGCAAGCCGTAAGGCCTTAGGCCACTAGCGTAGTCTGCTACACTAAAACTTTCCCCACAGCGATGACTAGTTAGCGCTGTCCCTTGCCGATCACCTCCTGCTGAAGCCTGGACTCGTCAATAATGCACAAAGCTCAGGTATCATCACAGTAGTCTAGATATCCTCAAGTAGTCCAATTGATACCATTCCAAGGACAGTACTCGCAGCGACGCGATGACCCACGATGCGTTTTCGAAGTCAACTGACTAATATTGTCACCTTCACCAGTAAGTCTCCCCCATCGCCCATCATCAGTATTCCCACTAATCACCACCAACAGAGTTGACGGCTTCCCTTTCATCCTTGGGGAAAGTGTGCTGGATGCGCCTGGAAGATGGCATCGTCCGCTTCACCATCATCCCCGACCAAGGCACGCAAGTGTGGGCCCAGTTACCAGTCGTACGCACCGCCATCCCCGCCTCAAATAAGAACTCCAAGCTAACAAACACCACCAGGAGGCCATCTTCGACGAACAAACCTACACCCTCCAATCCAACTCAGGAGTCATCAACCTCGAAGTCCCAATCGGCGCGCTCCATCGCGCCCTCCGCTCCGCAACGGGCGCCACCTCCGCCCAGCTCCGCCTCACCAAGAAAGGCAACATCCCTCTCCTCGCACTAACCGTCCTCTCCTCCTCCTGGACAACAGGCTCAAACGCGCTCGGAATCACCAACCCCAGCACTAGAATCACTCCCGCCGCCGCTCCTGGAACAGCAGCAACAGCTCCTGGCGTGACTGGGCCCCGCGAACGCGAAACGGTAATCACGCAAGAAATCCCCGTCAAGGTTCTGCACGAGACCGCCGTCGAGGGCCTGCACGAGCCGCGCTGCCGGGATCCAGACGTGCACATCATTCTCCCGAGCCTAGCGCACTTGAAAAGCATCTCCGAGCGCTTCTCGAAGCTGGCGGGGGACGCGAGACCCGCGGCCAGCAGCGGGATTGTCTCCTCGACACTGACCTCGCCCAAGCTCGAGTTATCGGCGAATATGCATGGCTCGCTGAAGCTGGCGATTGCGACCGATGCACTGTGTATCTCGAGTGTGTGGAGTGATCTCGTGAACCCGCCGCTGGACCCGGCGCAGATGTCGCAGAGTGAGATCGAGCAGTTGCCCAGTGAGAGGATGCGGGCCTTGGGGAGTGATGATGAGGCAGGGTGGGCTAAGGTGCGGATCGATTCCAGGGATTGGAGTCGGGTGTTGAGCATTGGGCGGCTGAGCCCGAAGGTGGTTGCCTGTGAGTTGTCCTGTGTTGGTTTATATGCTTGCGACTGTACGCTTCTGCTAATACGTCTACTGTCCAGGTTTTATCCACGAGACGGCCCTGATTCTGTATGTTTACCTACCAGGAAGTTTCAATGGGGAGGATTCGTGCTTGACAGTAAGTTCCCAGTTGCTATATTTTAGCCATGTCATTATTAAAATTTCCCTTGCTAGTATTACATCAATTCCTATGCAGCCTGATCTATCAGGAAAACCATGCCTGAGTCTTGAAGACTTTGGGCAATGTGCGAGCGCCAAAGCTGCTATAATGAGACATGATACATAGAATGCAGGTTATTAGAGTAATAGTGGACAAATTAAAATCGTATATCATACAAAACGTAAGCCAATCTGTCGCAAGGCCTCAAAGAAAGCCTTGGTGATTGTAAGAATTCGGCTTGGATCTAACGACCCGAAATGATCATCTCCAAACTCCCATAGGAAGTCGTGCAGCGCAACTGTGCGCAGACGTATATGCAAACATGCAAGAAGGAGAAATCTTGCAAAGCGCCGCCAAAAGAGGCCGCTATTCTTCAAGCCGAATCCGGCATGCAAGCTTCAAAGCAAACTCATCATCAATGGTTCTATGACCGGGCCGAGTATATGCATTTCACATTGTGCAAGAAGTAAAACAAAAAATCAGTTGAAAAGTAAGAAGAGGTCGAGTATCATGACAAGACCTCTGAATGTGATACCAGTAGTCTCAGCCCATCAAGGCTCTCACTTCGCCATAACGTCGACATAGCGGCCTTTCTTCTTCCCCCTGGCTGCAGGGCCTTTGCGCGCCTGCGGTGCTCCGAGTAAGTCGTCTATAGAGCTGGCATTGCTCAATGACGTCGCTGGCCTAGGTGGGGCCCCGGCTGAACTGCCTGGAGGAGTCGGCAAGACTGCGCCCGTTGACACAGACCGTGGGATAGCAGGAGGTGGAGCTCCAAGCGAGGGCGGAGCTGGGCTAGCAGACACGGACGGAGGTGCGCCTGCAGAAGAGGATGGCCGGCTTCCCGAGCCCCCTGTCTGCGGAGGCGTCACCATAGCAGGTGGTGGTCCACCACTGCCGCTCATTGATCTACTGGGAGGTGCCAAACCCTTCGGTGGGGGTGGCGTCCCACGTGTTGGAGCAGCACTCCCGGGATCCTTTTTGTTAACCCACTTCTTCAATTCGGTGTCATAGTAGAATGAATTCTCCTCCCCAAGTTTGGCACGGATTGGCCCACCGCCGCTATTGTCGTCTTTCTTGCCTCCAAACCATCCACTGAACCATCCCTTCTTCCCTGTTGCGGGCGGGGGTTTCTGGGCTACACGAGTCAATTAGTCACAGCAGAGATTGACAGTTATATTGGAACTTACCATCTGCTTCGGCGGCTTTGCGGAAGGCCTCGTCAGCCTCGCGGTCCCTGCGTGCCCTCTCTGCTTTCTGAATTGCAGCTGCACGCGCTGCAAGATCCTCGTCGTCGTCCTCCTCCATAAATGATTTCTTCTTCGGCTTGTCCTCTTCAGTAGACTCATCCTTAACATCGTCTGCTGCAGACTCTGTATTCGACACAACAGACGGAGGTTCATAGCCCCCCGTGCTGGCTGGAGGCATATATCCGCCATGGTCCGGTTGAAACGTCGTAGACGCACCTTGAGTATCGAGAGGTTGACCAAACGGTTCCGGTGCATACATAGGAGGCCGGTGAGACGGTGCACTGTCGGAGACCTGAGACTGTGCGGATAAAGGCCCTTGTTGAGCTCCAGATGCCGAGTCCTCTGCAACAGGTGCCAAAGGCATGTAGGATGATTGTGGAGGCGTGGACTGGTAGCCGGCAACCGGTGGAGAGCCATAAATCGGCATTCCGTGATACATGTTCGTGTCAACCGGTGTTGAAGGCTCCTGAGATCCTCGTCGCTGTCCTAGGGGGTACCCGAATGATGCAGACCTCTGAGAGTCCATAGATGATCTACCGCGAAGTTGCTCGGGTGAAGCGCTTGGCGCGTAATGGCTCACTGGTTGGTAGCGAGAGGGGCCAGCGCCGGGCAACGGCTGAGCCGCCGCCACAGGATAGGACCCATAGATGTCGGATACTGACGGTGAGCGACTAATGGTGGGAGTTCCGGAGACTCTGGCAAACGGTCCAATCTCTTCGGCCTTTCCAGAGCCAGTGGAAGCTGCATCGCTATCATCCCCAGCAACAAAGCTGTTGAACTTTGCCCACATCGAGCCCGACACCTTCTCCATACTAGGCCTCGAAATCCAGGATGATGCGCCATCGCTGCTCGTCTCTCTGAGGCGCGCTGATAGTTCATCCACACCAAAAAACAGGTGCTGATTGTGATATCCGGACGGCTTTGTGGTCGCCTTTAGAGCGGCTGCGATGGCGTCGCAGTACTGTTGAGCTTCGGACTTGCGACCACGATCCGCAAGCGACCATGCGTGAATTAGCTTGAACGCCAGCAGATGCGGGAGCGTGGCCACCGACGAGCCCGCAAGCACAGATGTCGCAAATTCATACGCCTCGGTGAGCAGGATAGAATCGTCGTCGTATAAACCTGCGGAAGAAGCTAAGCGTTGATGATCTACTCCGAGAAGGACGATATTTGCTAGCGGGTCATCGACACCGCCGAACACAGCGGCGCGAGAGAGAATGAAACAAATATGAGCGGCCTCCGTGCGGTTATAAGAGAGAAGCAGTCGACCGAGACCCACCAGCGCTCGTTGATCGTCAGGGCTGCGGTTGCTTAGTACCAGTCCCAAAGTTTCCCGCCAGCTGTCAAGGCCATCAAGAGAATTCTTGGCGGGGCCATGTCCGTCAACCTTGCTGATCATTTGCAAGCCGGCCCTGGCCGAAGGGGGAACTAGCTCATCAATGCTTTCCTCGATATTTCCGGCAAGAATCTCGTAGAACGCAGCGAGAGACTGGGTGCGGCTTGCCGCCGATCTCACTTCTCGCCTCACGAACTCCTGGACAACCTGTTGCCAGACAGATCTATCCATCGTCGAGGCTATTATCATAGCATGGCCCCAGAGGCGTTTGTCTACTGCAGCCCAGACTGCTTTCTCTCTTTCTCCGAGTACAAGAGTGTCACGGAGTGAATCTACCGACCGAGGATCGACAGCATCCGGTTGAGATGGCGCGTTCAAGGGTTGAAAGGTTGCAGATTGTGTAAAGCCATCTCCAAGCGATTGATTCAAGGCAGAATCCTGCAGGTTGGGAAATAGTAGGTTACGCAAAGACTTCTGGGCTTCAACGGAGCCTTCCAGAGCACCATCATTCTCGACAAAGACACGGATGACCTTCCATAAGAGGGTCTTCTCCTCACGGCGTTTAGAAGCATCAGGTGAGAGACGATCGCAATCCGGGATATCGGCGTTTTCGAAAGCTGCGATTTTGCTAGAAAGCCAAGCAACCAAGTCTTTTTTCTTCGACTTGCCCTTCAGAGGACCCGGATGTTGCACAATACTCTCAGCAGCAGGAAGCCAGTCATTCAGCTGGCTGACTCGGACCTCACCAGGACAAGATTTGATCATCGGGGCGGCCTGGCCAGCCAAGTAACGCGGGATATGCTTGGGGAAGCAAGAGATCACAGCGCCACCGAATCCGAACTTGAAAATTGGTGCACCCTTCCACCGTTCCAGGGAGTCAAGTTGTTGTCCATCAGTTGGAGGTATAAACTCAAGCACTTGAGAACGTGCACGATTGTGGGTGGAAACTGGTGCGGGGGCATAAGGATTAACAGTTCGCGTTGGAGACGTCGAACCATGCACTGAAGCAGGCCGTTGGAAAGGCTCGAGAGATGGAACGGACAATCTGGGACTGAGGGTTTGACTGGGAGACTGTGTCTGGGATCGACGAGGAGGGACAAACGCGGATTCCTCAGTGGATGAAGGATTCAGGACTTCAGTCATTCCGGCGATAGGTGGACCGGTAGATACGGGAGCCGCGCGCTTGGTAAACTCATTGGTATATGCGGAAGGAGCATATGGATTTTTGGGTGGCGATTGCGGTCGTGTAGATACCGGAGGCATATTCTCGAGGACGTCCGCGCTGCTATTATCTTCTGAGGCGACCGGCTGTTCTGACGGATGCGAATGGTCCAAAGGAGGGGGGCTAGCTGTTGGTTGCAGTTGAGGCCTCTCTTCACTTTGGCCTTGAGCTTGATAATGTTTCTTCTCATGGTAAGCCAGAGGGCTCGATGTGCGTGGCTGGAATTGTAAAGCAGCTCCCTGCCCTGAGATACTTGTCGGGTGTGAGGCGTAGCGATTGCGAGGAGGAGCCGCTGCTGCTGCATTCGTAGACTGAGGTGGAGCTGGAGAGTATCTGGGCGAAGGAGGGGGCTTAACACCAGCCTGCAAACCGGGAGGCCTTGGCGAGTATCTCGACGCAGTGTTTGGAACGGCCGGCGCACTTGGTACATTGGGCGCTAATAGGTTCGAGTACGGGTCCAACCTTTCTGGCTGCTGCAATTGGGGTGGGTTTGGGGGTCCGATATTGGACTGGGGAGCTGCTGGAACATTCGAATACGGATTCGCTGGAAGGGGCGCCGACTGCGGTACTGACGGCGCAGATACAGGGGCATTAGGTGTATACCTTCCAGAGCTCGCAGGCCTCGACTTGGGCCTAGGAGGCGGCAGTGGAAGTTCTTCGAAGAAGTTCTTCTGAGGTGCTGCTGGGGCTGCCGATGAGGCTCCAAGCGGTGCAGGAGGGACTGTTGACGCCTTCACAGGAGGTGAAGGTATGCTACTGCTCCGCGGAGGCGGCTGCGGTACGGTGCCGGGCTGTGCAGCAACTGCTCTGCTGTGGGCAACAGCCCGGCGAGGCCGTGCAAGATCCTCTGGAAGGTCATAAGGCGACTTGTAGCCTTCCTTCGAACGTTCTGCGAAACTCTCTGCTCTAGTCGTAACTGGGTTCGGCGGAGCCTGTGCTGAGAAGTAATTTGACATGGAAGCATTGGTGGGCTGAGGCGCAGTATTTTGCGCAGGAATACCTGAGAGCAGATCTGATGTAGAGGGCTGGTGCGGGGTGTAGGAGACCGGTTGCACTTTGGGCCGAGCAGGGTTCTCAGGGGTACCGAATGGACTCTGAAGGATTGCCGTAAACCCAGTGTCGTTCATATGATCCATATTAACAGCCTCTGATTGTCCCTGCGCATTCGTCGTATCGTCATCCAAGAGCAAGTCATCATCATCGTCGAGTTCCGCCTGCCACCGGGCAGCCAGATCATCTTCGGTGGGCACAGTTTCGCCATCATCATCTGAAAGTTCCGCCTGCCATCGTGCGGCAAGATCTTCTTCTGAGGGAGCCTTTTTAATATCACTCTCTGCTGTGGGTACTGCCAAACTGTTGTTGAACTCTATGGCAGTTGGCGATGGTTCACTGAACGGAGAGTCTGGACCGGCATTAAGAGAATTCATGACTTGACTGGTGCTCTTGCGCGTGATGTGGGAAGGTCCTTGGGCTGAAGTTGACTTCTGAATCTCACTAAAAAATCCGCTCTCGTCATCTTCATCGCCTTCGAAAACATCGTCGAGTTGGCCCTCCTCCTTTTGAGTATGATCACTTTGTGTTTCCGCACTGTGATCTAGTAGCGGAATTCCCTCTTCGAACCGAGACTCTGTTTCTGGGGGACTATATATCGGCTTTGTTTGCGTTTTGAGCTGGGTAAAGAAGTCATCCTCATTATTGCGTTCATTATCGCCGAGATTATCCCAGAAACCCGAACGGGTATCACTAGCCTCTCCGTTGACTGTTGCGCCAACTTCCTCACCCTCAGCTTCATCCATCCAGGCAGTGTCACAGCCCTCGGAGAAAACCTGTGCATCGTTCTGACTTGTCAAGCCAGAAGATTTTTCCGGCACCTCATAGTGTGGTTCTTCTGCAACATGCTGTTCCAGTCGAAGTCCACTTGTCATGTCAACGTTGCCGTTCTCCGTAGGCACGTTCTGTGTGAAATCTTCGACTGCCCGGGGCTCATCAGTCTGCATAGAAATCGACTCGTCACGGCTGGGTTCTTCGGGCTCCTCAATGTCCGGTTCTGAGCTATCATCGGCAGCCGGCGTTTTCGAATCGACCATATCGGGCGCGCCTTGGTCACGGGTACCAGCAGAGATAACGGCTTCGGACTCAACAGGATCGTTCTCTTCGGTAATTTCTTCGGCAGTGGGAGACACATGGCTCTCAATGTMTGTGGTTTCTGACACTTCTTTTTCGGAATCCAGCGTCAACCTGGCCAGATTGGTCGCAACGGAATCGTTATCCTCAGGTCGAAACGCTGGATTCCACGCGAGTACTCCTTCTGTCTGCGCCATGTTTGCAAGAAAAAAATCTTCGCCGAAAGGCGATACGGTTGCTGTAAATTAGGAAGCTGACACGTTTCTAGACAACTCCGGGACCCTGAGAGTCAACAAGGCGATGCACAATGGTAAAGGGAATCCAAGAAACACGGGAAATTAAACATGTAAAGAGGAAGACGCAATCCCGTAGAAAGAAGAAAAAATTAGAATACAAAACCTTGTTGTGGATTCATGACTGGATATCCATGATACGTAAAGATGTATGAAGTTTTGAGATTCGGCACCCGAACAGACACCCGATAGATAGCACGGAGCAGTGATGCTTTCTCCGTTTTTGGTTGCCCCGTCTCGGCCTGTCCGTCACCCGGAGCGGATTGACTTTAATCCGGCACAAAAAGACCACCTAACATGTCATGTCACGTGATTGGCCGGATTGTCTATACTTGGCATCGCATAGTTGCGGAGTTATTATCAACAGACACCAGTTGCACATGCATCAATTGCGATCACGATATAGAGTAGTCTACTCTCATTTGCTTTCTCTTTACAGGGGATTAATCTCCAGATATCATTATCTGAAGACACTCAGCCGCTACGATTTGATCCTGAAAGAAGCAGATCAATACACAGGTTCTCCGCGTATGACATCGCTGTTTCATAAACAATTGATTGCGCCACAGCTGCGTGGCAGAGCCTGAGGCCCGAACCAATCATGTGATCGGCCCTTGCTCCACCTCTCATGAATTAGTTACCACTACTTAGGCTCCAAAGATAGTATTATTATCGCGATGGTAGAATGGCTCCCTTTCTTTTACTCCTTGATTATTCTTAGGTGCATATAGGATGGTGTTATTTGTCCCCTTTTCCTGGATTTCGGCTTCTTACTTCCTAGCGCGCTGTTGAACACCGTCTACTTTCTTCACAGCGACAAGTACAATAACAATGCGGGCCTGAAATGCCACTTACCGTGAGATAGGTATCCTGGTCCAAATAGAACCTTGCGAGGAAGATCCGGGATCGCCGCTTCATATGGAAAGCACTGTCAATATCCCTCCGCATCATACCTACAATGCCTTCATCATCCGAGTACCTTCATCCTCACGACCGCGCCAGCATTGCTGGTGACTCCGGATCCGATGACGACCTCGACTTGGAGGAGTTGGACCCGACCACGGCAACCATTCATCAATCTCCTCGGCTATCTAAAGATGAAATAACGCGACAAAGAGGCTATGGTTCAGGGATTGCTTTGAGGAATCTGCGGGTTGGCGGTGGAAATCGAGGGTGGAAGCGTAGTGCTTCCGGCATACGGAACAGGGATTCGGAAGAGGATACACACGGATTACTGGACGATCGAGAAGGAGAGGCTCTGCGGAGCTCGCACGCTAGCTCACGACATTACACTGATGATGATGCTCCGCTGCTCGACAATCCGCGGCAAAGCTCAGCGCGCTCGTTTGCGGGTGACGGATCAATTCGACGAACGGGTTCTCGGTCACGGTTTTTCGGCTTCAAAGCAGCCAATATCTTCTCCGGTCCGTCGAGCTGGTCTCGCAGGAACGATGAAAGTAATGCTACCAAGCCTCCTCGGGAAGTGTTCGTTGGGCAAGCGCAGAGATCGAAGTACCCGGCAAACATCGTTTCCAATGCGAAATATACCCCTTGGAGCTTTCTACCACGTACCCTATACAATGAGTTTTCTTTCTTCTTCAACATCTATTTTTTGCTTGTGGCTCTTTCGCAAATCATTCCCGTGCTTCGCATCGGGTACATGTCGTCCTACATCGCGCCTCTAGCGTTCGTCGTCTCGATATCCTTGGGAAAAGAAGCTTTGGATGATATTGGCCGGCGAAGACGAGATGCCGAAGCCAACTCCGAAGAGTTCTCAGTATTGTCCTTTGACAAGCCCGTGGGAAGAAGGGCGTTCGCGACTCCTGCAACTAATGATTCGGATGCCGACGAAGTATTCGAGATCACTAAAAAGTCTAGGGACCTGAAAGTCGGTGACGTTCTCAAGGTTCGCAAAAACCAGCGCCTTCCCGCGGATGTGGTGATTTTGAAGACTATCTCCAATGACTCTGTCACTGCGCGGCGAAGCTCTTCAGCTGAGATTGCCACGGATCTTATGCGACCCGATCAAGCATCAGTTCAACCGTCCGAGGTTGACCCTAGTTCAAGTGCCGCCGGGCATGAAGTTGATACTTCTTCTACTAGTGACACATTCATTCGTACTGACCAGCTGGACGGTGAAACTGACTGGAAATTACGTTTGCCTTCGGTCCTATCTCAGTCCCTGCGACTCCGGGATCTCACTAAACTCAAGGTCACCGCCAGCGCACCGGATAAGCGCGTCAATGAGTTTCTTGGCACTATTGAACTTGGCTCGCAGTCAGGTTTCTACGATCCCCACGTCGACAAAGCGCAGACTGGCGGCGGAGCGAGCAGCGAGGATCGGCAAGCCAACTCTGCCCCCCTCACAATCGATAACACGGCGTGGGCGAACACGGTCCTGGCATCCAATACAATAACGTATGCCGTCATTATCTACACTGGCTCGCAAACACGAGCAGCTCTGTCTACATCGCCATCTCGTTCAAAAGTAGGTCTTCTGGAATATGAGATCAATAACCTGACCAAGATCTTATGCGCTTTGACCCTCACTCTGTCAATCATCCTGGTAGCTCTCGAGGGTTTTGAACCAACCAACGACAAAGAATGGTACATCGCAATCATGATTTACCTTATCCTATTCTCAACAATCATTCCCATGAGCTTGCGAGTCAACTTGGACATGGCGAAATCTGTGTATAGCAGATTCATTCAGCGAGACAAAGATATTCCTGGGACCGTTGTTAGAACAAGTACGATACCCGAGGATCTTGGTAGAATCGAGTATCTCCTTTCTGATAAGACTGGTACMCTAACTCAAAACGGTAAGTTCTCATACATCCGAACCGTTGAATTGCGTTACTAACAGTCTTAGAAATGGAGCTGAAGAAGATCCATGTCGGAACGGTTTCTTATGCAAACGACGCTATGGAGGAAGTAGCGTCGTTTGTTCGACAAGCCTTCGCTAGCAATACCTTGACCACACCTTCAGCTGCATTCGGAGCCCAAGCAGGACTTGGGGCAGCTCCTCGTACAAGGCGAGAGATCGGGTCGCGCGTTCGTGATATAGTCCTGGCGCTGGCTCTATGTCATAATGTCACTCCCACGATCGACGAAGAGGACGGTATGAGAGTCACGAATTATCAGGCATCATCGCCCGATGAGATTGCCATTGTCAAGTACACCGAGGAGGTCGGTCTGAAGTTGTCATACCGTGACCGGCAATCCATTGTCCTTGAAACGACCGAAACAGGCAGTGTTGTCGTTCGTGTTCGCATCCTTGAGATTTTCCCTTTCACCTCGGACAGCAAGCGGATGGGTATCATTGTACAATTCGAAACAGCCAACTCGATCCTAGAGTCTTCGAGCGAGGATACCGAAATCTGGTTCTATCAGAAAGGCGCAGATACTGTTATGTCCGGCATCGTTGCAGCGAACGACTGGCTCGACGAGGAAACTGCGAATATGGCTCGGGAGGGTCTGCGTACCCTTGTGATTGGCAGGAAACGGCTATCCTTGCAGCAGTTCCAGGAGTTCTCTGCAAAGTACAAGCAAGCCTCGCTTGCATTGCAGGGACGCGACGTCGGGATGGCCAAGGTCGTGAGCGAGCATCTTGAGCGTGACCTGGAGCTTCTTGGCGTGACTGGTGTGGAAGATCGTCTGCAAAGAGATGTAAAGCCATCCCTAGAGCTTCTTCGCAACGCTGGAGTCAAAATCTGGATGTTGACCGGGGATAAAGTCGAGACAGCACGTTGTGTTGCCATCTCCGCCAAGTTGGTTGCTCGAGGCCAATACATCCACACCGTCGCTAAATTGAAGGACCCGTCTGCCGCCCAAGAGGCATTGGACTTTTTGCGAAATAAAACCGATTGCTGTCTGCTCATCGATGGCGAGTCTCTGTCGCTGATGCTTGGTCAGTTCCGGTCAGCATTCATATCCGTGGCCGTTCTATTACCGGCTGTGGTTGCATGTCGATGCTCTCCGACTCAGAAAGCTGAAGTCGCGGAGTTGATTCGTCAATACACTAAGAAACGAGTTTGCTGTATCGGTGACGGCGGCAACGATGTCTCCATGATCCAAGCAGCTGATGTTGGAATTGGCATTGTGGGCAAGGAGGGGCGGCAGGCCTCGTTGGCTGCCGACTTTAGCATCACGCACTTCCACCACCTTACGAAACTTCTCGTTTGGCACGGCCGCAATTCATACAAAAGATCCGCCAAATTGGCGCAATTCATCATGCATCGTGGCCTTATCATTAGCGCTTGCCAGACCATGTACAGTATTGCAAGCCATTTTGACCCCAAGGGTCTGTTCATCAATTGGCTGATGGTTGGCTACGCGACGGTCTACACCAATGCCCCGGTCTTCTCGCTCGTTTTCGACCGCGACGTTGACGAGCAGCTGGCAAATCTGTACCCAGAACTGTACAAAGAACTCAAGTCCGGTCGCAGTCTCAGCTATCGCTCGTTCTTCGGCTGGGTGCTTGTGTCAGTTTATCAGGGTTCCGTAATTCAGGGGCTCTCGCAGATCTTGCTGAACACCATCTCAGGGCCGCGGTTGATCAGCGTCTCGTTCACGGCCCTCGTCATTAACGAGCTGCTGATGGTCGCTATCGCCATCACGACCTGGCACCCCGTAATGATCTTCTGCCTTATCGGTACAGCTCTGGTCTATGCCGCCAGCGTCCCCTTTCTGGGTGACTACTTCGACCTCGCATACGTCATCACCGTCGACTGGGTTTGGCGTGTGGTCGCCGTCTGCGCCGTCTCCGTCATTCCCGTCTGGGCAGCTAAACTGATCCAACGGTCTTGGAAACCACCTAGTTATCGTAAAGTTCGAGGTTAACCGCTATCACTGATATCCCCTGTCGCGACATCTTGCCTTGGTCGTTTATTGACTTGTCCGGGTAGAGGAGTTGCGGTTTTCTGAATGTCACATTATGTTTGTACTATCGTCATTAGCATTCATCGAGCATTGGTCCTATACCATTTCCCTTCAGTTTGCCTTTGCTGGTATATAACCCTTGCATAGAATTTCACTTATGATCTGATAAACGTCCTGTGTATGTGCGATATAAAACAGAACAGGCCCAACAGGGCCATCCTAAGAACACTGGATTTGGTGATACACATGTATATATTCCGGATATGCGGGAAAGGATGGGAGCAGCACACTCCTAATATCCCAGCAATCCACACTAGAAACTCCATCCAAAATATACCAGATAATACATTGTCAGTTTGGATAAGTAATAAGCCAAAGTGCAGGCCCATGTGGATTGAAAAAGAAAGGTGGCAGATGAAAAAAAAAGGTAAAAAAGAATATTGCGGACGACACCTCTGGGATTCGAACCCTGTAAGGACTGTTAGATGATGTTGTGATATTTAGGTAAGTGAGTTTAACATACCAGGCGGGCGAACCCACAGGCTTAGCAGGCCTGCGCCTTAACCACTCGGCCAAAGTGTCCAATGGTGCTTGACATACTACGTAAATTTATCTAGATGCAACGGTGCTATTGGCAACGTAGTAGATAAGCAACCTCGGCGACGCGAGCAACTACCGCCCGAACATACTCAGTATTTGAGGATCATGGATATTTATGATCGTTTTGAGATACTTAATTGTGAAGATAGCATCATAGCAAAGAAACGCTGCCGAGAGGAAAAGAAATAACGCCAATCCGTCCCAAGCCCAACCCAGCCGGAGATTCTCCTCAACCAGTACGAAAATGGGCCCAACACAAGCCGACAAAGGATGCAAAGATGAGGACTAAATCAAGTCGCTACGGCACCTCACTGTGAGCTGGACGGATGTGGCTGTTTCCACAGAATCTCCTTGCTCAGAAGCTGCCTCAATTCGGGAGAAATAACCTTGGACTCGGCATTATTTCCGGCAGCACTACTACTCGCCGAACCGGCACTGACACCGCTACTGTAACCGACACTCTGTGGTCGTTGCGGCGACTTGCCCTTGTTCGAAGCAGATTCCTGCGTGGGTTTTCGTTGATGGGCTGATGGAACGGGGAAGTTATTCTTCTTGTCTATTGCTTCAACTGTGCGTTCGAAGCGACGAAAAAGGGATTCTGCGCGGGTGAGGATGGGGACGAGCTCCATGGTGTTTGACAGCTCGTTGACTTTCAGGTTGATTAATTGGGTGGTCGCAGTAAGTTGGGGTAGAGGTAATGTGCTTACCGTATTTAAGAACTTCATCAAAATGTTTGAGATGGTCCATAATTACGTCGCGGTGTTTCTCTAGGATTGCTAACGCGATGAAGAGGTGGAAGCTGCTGGAGAAATAGTCGGTCCACAATGTCTCCCAGAGACGTAGGACGTTTACCCATTCGAACTCGCGTTTGTACCAGACAAGAAGCATCCGGAAAAAGAAGAAGAAGTTCGTGCTGTCGGCGGATTGGAGATGGAGGTATAGCTGGGGGTCCATAAGTTGTACCAGGTGATCTAGGGTGAGGAGCTGGGCACGCATGCCGGACTGATCGCGAAGGAAATTCCGTTCCTGGTCTGTGTAAGCAGTGTTGATTTCGGACGGATATGTGTGGGATTTACCATTCTGTCCATGAATCCAACAAAGGCCCAGAATGCGACTGCATCGTCTTGCATGACCGCGTAAATTGGTGCTAAGAGGTCACTCATTCCTTGGACGTAGCCCAGGTCAGGATTGTGTTCGTTGTATGTGAGAAGCATGTCCTTCATCTGCTCTAGATGTACGTTCGTCCCTACGTCCGCGAAGGGAGAGTCTGGATCGGGATGAGGGATATCTTCTCCTGCAAAGAGAGGTATCGTGCGATCTGTACGATGCACGTCTTTTTCTGATACCGATATGTTAGCAGGTGAATTCAGGAATGCCTCCAAGTGAAGCAAGCATACCTATTCGGTTTTTCTGCTCTTTCCACCACTCGTACTGCTCGGTAGTCGTAGACCCCTCAACCATTCTCTCCCACCAGGCACCCTTCAGCCGGATGTATTCATCCCGTTTGGAATTCATCAGAGCTTGACGCTCGTCGCGGCTGCTGTCCCAAGGGTACACTCCGAGAAGGAAAAGCCATGCTTCCTTTCTGACCCCATCATTTGGGTCAAGGCCTCCGTGGAAAATCCTCTCCTTCACTTCGTCTACAGTAACGTTGAGCCTTCCCGTAGTGGTATCAAAGAAGCCCTCCCATTCCTGCATAGTGACAGTTTTGCGTCGTTCTTGAATGGCCATTGTTCCCGTCTCAAGCTCCAAAATCTCAAAATCACCCACCGAGCTATTTTCCATTTCCAGAACATCCCGCGCAGTCCATATGCGCTGGGACCTCTCTCGTTCGCTCTGCTCAGCAATGCTCATGGCCCATCGAGCCAAGTAGAGTCTGGCGCTATCGAACTCATCCTGCAAGGTCTGAATCTCGGGAGTCTTCATCAGACGACGGACCTGCGGAGGTATCATGGTGTTGTCGGCGAGTTCGTTCGCCGTCCGCCTTGTGAATGTGGTAATCTTGCTGAGCTGCTCAAGGACCTTCCATCTAGTCTCCTTGAGTGCTTTCACAAAGGGATCCATTCCGGCGTCCCGTTCTACACTGCCAGCGGGTTGATGTGGGCCAGCAGCTGGTTCGTGCCCTTGCTTCGTCACTGATCCGTCATAACTGCTGAGTGGCCGTGCGAAGGATATGCGGTCCTCTTCGGAGGGATTGATAAGGTAGACACTGCTGTCGACAGAAGAGCGCTGCACCTCAACATATTTCCGGAGCCACCGCAGAACCTCGTCACCGCCCMAGAATAGGCCACCACTTTCATCGAACGGGTCGAAACTTTCCCTTGTTCTTCGTTTCTTCTGCAGTATCGTTGATTCGCACTCACTATCGTGAAAGAACAACGCCGGGAAACTATCACCAGAGCGGGTATTGATCACCAGGCTACCGAACCACCAACCCAAGCTAGGAGGTCGCACTAGCAGCGAAAAAATTTCGGATAGCGGTACGGCGAACGCATATAGACCTATCGGATCTTTATATGTGGTTGTAGTCGGGAGCGGTGGCACTAGATATCGTTGCTTCGGTGGTGAAGAGTTATCAGACAGGTCGACTTTGACATAGGTACTGTAGGCGTCGCCGAGGGAGGATTCGGGGACCCAGGCAAGGAGGTAGGAAGAGAGGTCGCCGGTGGTCTTAGCGGTGTTTGTTGATGCGGCATTGCTGCTCACAGTAGGAGCGGGTTTTTGTTGGAGCAGAGCGATAAAGCCAGGTATATTGTCCTTGGAGGAGGGCGTCGGATGGACGTATACCTACAATACTCAGGAAGACATCGGAACGTCAGTTCTGGCCATTCATGCAATAATGTTTTGTAGATTTTCAAGAACCAACCTTGCTCTTGGAATATAAAAGCTTCACACCTCTCCCTGACGTGGAGGAGATACTATTGTATTCATCCTCCTCGGCGTCGCTAACATCGTAGAAGGACGCCGTTGGTGACGGCGGCGAAGGAGGAGGAGTGAATTTGGTGCCGGAGCCTGCCATTCTTAATGGCGAATTTGAAGCTTGATGAGATATATTTCAGCGAAAGGTGCTCATCATGCGAAAGACTGCGATTTAATTTGTCCTTATCCTATTGAGTGAAGCTGATAAAATCAAAAGCAAATGACTGATCGCGGAGAATGAGATCACGACGTAATCGTGGGGCACCTGATTGATCGATTGTCCCACTTTAGATGGCCTTTGTTGGACTTCAAAGATGATGGAATCCACAAAACACAAGCGAAATGGTTTAATGCTGAATACTCGTCACCTTTTCTATCCTTTAGAGTAGCTTTCTTGAGTCTCTGATGATTTGCAAGTATGTTGTGAAGGGGTAGCTTTTCCACCCTTCATCGCCACAAAGTGCACAGCAGGCAGCAGCAAAACATTCGACCTTGAAGGGATCATCATCATTGTTGATACAGTCAACATCAGTCCGACTACAGAGAAAGGAAGAACTGGATTTGTCTCGAGGATACTCTATTGGAAGGCGTCTCTCCTTTTTATTCTTGAAAGAGGTGTCAGTCCATACCGTACATCTTTGTCTACAGCCCTTCCTGAATCCTCTACCGTTATACCCTTCACTGAATAGTAACGTTTTCCATTCTTCTTTATGCATCCTCTGCTGCCTATGCTTTGACCCATCCTTACAAGGGGAGATGCCTTGTATCAAATGATGTTACGTACCTTACTGTGATTCGTCTGCATGAAACCCTCTGGTCCTATCAGCAGGACAGGGCACCCTCCCTATGCATATGGTCCATTGATCATTTGCTCACAGCGAAGTAAATTACCTAAGATTCTGTGTGATATAGCCAGCGGCTTTAAGGGATCTTATAACCTCTTCAGGAAACATATACCTATCCAATTGGACACCTTCTTCTGCTATAACAGTACAGTAGTTTGGCTGCGATGTCTGGAGATAAGGTACTTAAAAGGATGGGGGAAACACCAGATGGCCGGATCTATTTGCTAAATGCTCAAAATGCCTGAGTTAGCACGTACTCTTCCGGCTTCGTGGTATTGCAGCCAGCCGCTCTATCAACTCGAGCGCAGGGCAATCTTTAACAAGGTATATAACGTTTCCTGTGTGTGAATGGTGCAAAAGTGTCTTATAACCGGATAGTCGTGGTATCTACTCGGACCTGTGACAAGGTTCTTGACCATAGGAGAAAAAGTCGAGTATGAAATCGCCCAGCAGTCGGTGCTCGCTTTTCGAAGCTCTGGAGACGCGACTTTCCCTGGTCCAGATGAGATCCAGGTGATCAGTGTGAGGACAGTACGCTCTGCTCAGGATCCCGGGAGCATATGGTGGATACTCATCATTTGTTTAGAGCAGGAAGCTTCGCTCCCATGTCACACCTACTGGCCTTGTCTTTAGTACATTGTCGGACGAAGCCCCGAATTTTGACGAGTACTTTCCGGGTCTCGAGGCATTGCTAGAAAGGGTGGATTTCACCAAGCTGCCATACAGGCGCAGCATCAAATATGAAGGGCGCTTCAACTGGAAGACTATGTGAGGAAGATTTTCCCTTTGACTATCAAAATCTCTCTGACGGAGATCAAATAGGGTCGACGGTTATCAGGAATGTCTACATTGTCAATACACACATCCTTCGTTCTCCATATATTATCCCCCGACATTCTATACTGTCAAGAATCACCAGAATTTCTCGCAACATATCGCTGATCCAAAGAAACCAGACGACGGATTGTTCTTATACTTCTTCCCCAACTGCACTCTCAACGTCTATGGCGGAGGCATGTCTTCATTCCGTGTCTGTCCGACTGAAGATCCGAGCCTGACAAGGATGGAATTTGACTATTACCACAAAGAGTCCGGGCACAAATTTGAGGAGTATTACAGATTCGTTCGACAGGTTGCGATGGAGGACTATGAGCTTTGCGAGAAAGCGCAAGGTAATCTGGAAAAGGGCGTCTATAGTGAAGGTATCCTGAATCCAGAGCAGGAGAACGGTGTTTCGTGTGAGTATAAGATTGACACCCGCTAAGGCTAAGCTTGATGTGGGAAACTGATTTAATGTGTCACAGTTTATCAAGACAGAGTCTTTGAGCTTGTGTGCCAACAGCACGCCGCGGAAAGCGGCAAGGTATGATCTCGCCGCGTAGTAGACACGGCTGTTACATTTGCATATTTGGTCATAATTATACGTTAGCACTAGTGTAGATTCATACATGCCTTGTTCGTCGTATTCAAATTCACCTTCACCTTTAACACAGACTAATAGTCATTTGGGGACCTCCTCAATTGCAACGCTCGCATGAGACAACTGTACGCCGGAAAAGCTCACCAAATTTGGAAAGATATGCAACAATCCTGATTTATGGGATTGACTCACAGGTGTACGACGAGTCTAGTCTCTTCGTGCGAGCCCCCCATCGGGCACCCAACAGGGTTAACCTCTCTGGGGAGTCAGTATTAAGTTGCGGCCCTTTAAATGCCTGACCGGCTCCCCGATGCTGCGGGGTTGACCACAAGAGAAACAATTGAGAGGATGGCTATGGAGGCTCTGATCTCACCTACACCAATACTTGTAGCACTGTTAACTGCCATCGTCTTCATATGTCGAGCCTGGCCCCGTGGGATATACCCTAAGACGCTCTTCATAGGCCAACCTGATCCATCCCCTCAAGTCTCAAGAGCCGACGAGATACAAGGGGTCTGTAAGGAATCGGAATTTCCTGAAAACTGGCTGAATAGCAATGAAACCTTCCAACTCGAACGGCGCGCAGTGTTCAGCAAGGTAAGCCCGAACAACCATGCTCCGGGCTCGAATTTTAGACTCCTAACACGTGAGGATCACAGTCATGGCTGTATCTTTCTCACCGCAGCCAGTTCACAAAACCTGGCGATTATCGATCCTTCGAGGTGGCCGGCTTCCCCATCTTCCTCATCCTGGGAAAAGATGGTGAGATCAGAGCTTTCCACAATGTCTGTCGCCATAGAGCGTACACGGTCGCGAATAAAGAGCGTGGAAGTTCTACCGTTCTTGGATGTCGCTACCATGGCTGGAGCTACAATACCAAAGGCGAGCTTATCAAAGCCCCCCATTTTGACAAAGTACTTGGTTTCGATAGATCACAGAACAGTCTGTTTGCTATTCATGTTCAGCAGAGCACCGACGGCTTCATATTTGTGAATCTTGAGGCCGATGCGCCAGGTGAGCTGCTAGAGACCGATTGTCTGACCGACTTCGTGGAACGTAATGGGGCTATAGCTCAGTCACGCTGGATTAGGGGTAAGGCTATCGAAGGAGTATTCAATTGGAAAATGGCTGGTAAGTTCTGCTGTCTTGCCTTCTTTGGCCTCGATGAGCTCTGATGATTTGCCGCACAGTCGTATCTAAGAAGCAGTTCGGTACAACTGCAATATTGCCTGAACTTGCGCGACTTGTGCGTCTGACTCTTTTAGCAAGAATGAAGCATTATTTGGACGGGAAGACTGCCGGAGACACTGATATTCTGCTATTTCCCAATGTCTCGTTTCATACCATCAAGGATACTAGATATTGGTACTCTTTAAGCTTCCATCCGGCTTCTGAGCAAAAGACGCTGATCCGATACGATCTTTACTGCTTCCAGCACACGGATGGCGATGTCAGTTGTCAGTTGATTTCAGATAAGCTCATTGAGATGATAACGGAAGAAGTGACCGAATTGGAGAGCCAATATCAGTTACAAACCAGGGGAGCTGAGGATAGCTCCCAGGGAGGCGTGATCGCAACGACAACAGAAGATATGGATATTCGTTCTCTCTTGGCAACGTCAAGTTCGTCTCTACCTGGCTTTCAGTATCCATCTTTGGAGAACCTTATTGTGCTAATGTTGAATAGATCTGCAAAAGATGATTCTCGAGCAGCTGAAAAAGCATGCTAAGCTCGAAAAGCTACAAGGGATGGAAGTGCATCCTGCGACGAGGCAGCCGCGAATGACCCCCAAGTCCCAGCAGGCCGACCAACGTAAGTTGATAAGCTCTTGTTGCTCGCAAATTCAGAGCCGGATGGTTCAAAAGTAGCTTCACTGACTTATCTCAGTTTGCAGAGAGCTCGAATGCCGAGGCGAAACATTCACAAGTTTGGCCTGGTAGCTGTCATTCGCATTGTAGCGATCAGTCACGTAGTAGGCCAAATTTTTTAATGGCTTAGCACTGAGGGAGCTCTCTGGACAAGCGCTGATTAGCGAGGCTGCGACCTTTTCTTATTATTATGCGATACTTGTCTTGCAGATATCTTACACCAATGCGGAATCGAGGCACTTCCCTACTAGATCCATAGTTTGGGAGCATCTCTTTCTGTTCTTTATTGATTGTGATGGAGAGAGATGTAGTGGCAGCGAAAGGCCAGCCACCAATCAACACCCTAAATTGACACATTCTTTCACTGGCTTCTGAGTCTACTACCTATGTACGACGTGTCAACTTTCCCTTTTCCGCATATCCTTTCTCCACTATTTCGGGTCCCTGGGACCTATCTGGAGCCCTGATCTACCCTGCCCACCTCCTGATTATTCAAGAGATCGAAATCAAGTACCTCTGTAGATACAACAATAATATAAATGCTTTAAAGACATCCTCGTAACCTCGTGTCCCTTTTCCGATCGTGTCTATTGAATTGTCCAGAAGTTCAGACACTTGGTCCACTCATCCGTTCCATCGGCTAAATAGGTAAACACGAGTTCTTCATCTGAACTTAAAGTATTTTTAGCTCACCAGCTCCAGAACAATTCGTGTTTTTGCCAGTTGACATCACTACCGCAGACAGAGTCAACCCACGCAACACGAGCTTCCGAAGGAGCTGCAGTAAGTACGCCAAAGATTTCCCCTGGTTCGTATCTCGCACAAGAAGACTAGACTAGACTAGACTAAGTACTGATCTATGCAAAAATAGAGCCAAGCCTCCTTTTTGACTTTCCTTCCGAGTCCACTACTCTATTTACGAGGGGAACTCGTATCAAGCCGGTCGCTTGAGCTTTTTGCCTATCTCGTGCATTTGCCAGATATGGCTCTACCCCCGATTGCAACGGCAACCTTGCAGGCTGCGCTCGTAAATGCGGGTTCGAATGTTCTCGCCCAGGGAATCAAAGCCTGGAGAGATCAGGTACGTGGATTTGATCTCGTGTTGTCTTATTCATCCTAGCGAGCAACCAGCCATGGGCAATTCTATTAACATGAAACGGGATGATGACGATTCTGACGAGCGATGGCGATGATTCGCACAAGGTAGACACCGTTCGAACTTGACCTCCAGGCCTTGTTCCAGTTCACGACGTGTGCGTTTGTACTCTCGCCGCTGACCTACGTCTGGCTTGAGAGCCTGGAGTCGAGCTTTCCAGGCTCCAGTGAGGATACATCCGTCACCAAGTCTGCTGCTGAGAAGAATGGCTCGAAGCAGGGGAAGCAGAAGTTGAACGTGAAGAATACCGTAGTAAAAGTCGTGATTGATCAGACTGTCGGCGCGGCAATCAACACCGTGGCCTTCGTTATGACAATGGGACTTTTACGGGGACAGGATTTTGAGGTCATCAAGGCACAGATTCAGAATGTAAGTCCCCTGTTATTACTCGCTTCAGGTGGAATTCCTTTTCTTTGCAACCGTAGCGCGGGTATTAGCCAGGTCTGATGCGCCGATAGGACTTTTGGCCCATCATGCTTGCTGGATTCAAGCTCTGGCCTTTTGTGTCGATACTCAACTTCACGGTTGTACCCGCAGATAAGCGATTGCTTGTTGGTAGTTTGTTTGGCGTCATCTGGGCGGTTTATCTGAGTCTGATGTCTGGGTGATAGTGGCCCCAGATAAGGCAGACTCGTGACTGCAGCAATTGTTGGCCTCCATGTTCTGGCTGTAGACAAGAATAGACTGAGATGATTGTTGGATTGGTGTTGGTTGGTTAGACATTCAAGATGGAAGACGATTTGATTAAGGCCTAATCTTACGCAGATCATTGATGAAATATAGCCACGGATGATCAGAAAGAATAGTTGGTACTATTTGGTGTCGCAATTCTATCCAACTTCAGCCCCCAACGGCCCCATTTTATGTTTATCTCCAATATATTAGAGCTGATGCACACCATCAAACAAGGGCCAGAGGCGAATCTCCATGGTCGGCTTCAGCAAAACTGCTGAGCTCAGACGTGAACTCTCGTCCTGCACTCTGCCACCATCACCCCAGCAGTTGAGCTTGACTCGAACGTATGTGAGACACATAATTGTTATTTTATCCGGGCAATCCCCAGCAATAAGTTGGCCCCTTGGAGTTCCATCGACGATTGCGGAGTGTTGGGGGCAGTTATGGTTTTAGTTGTTAGTCGATGTAGGCTGTACGCAGTGACCTCTTCAACTGCAGAGCATATCTAAAATAGTGTGGGCTTACAACGGAGAACCAGATATGGTAACTTGTCTACATCCTGACAGCCTTCGAGACTGGTGGTTTCCTATTCGGAAGGATGAGCTCCAGTTCATGGTAAATCATACTCGAATCCAATGCCTCAAGCCTAGTTTCTGTCGTGCGAGGAAGATGCAGGTAAGCGGAAGGAATGCGGCCAAACCTAAGATGGAAGTAGCCTGTCGGACGCCTTGATAGAGGAGCGATCAGCGGGTTGACATGGCACAGTCATTGAAATAGAGAAGAAGGGGACAGTGTCAATGTTCATAAAAGCCTCAAGTTCTCAACTGATGACTGGATCGACAGCCAAACCGACATAAGGATAGCAACGGCCCAGGCATATTCTGTGTGGCCCCCAGAACACTACATGGTGACTCTACTTGAGCGAGACCCTGTATCTATGGTGGCCTGAACTGAAAATCTTCCTGAAATCCGGCAAGGTTGATTGGGATTCTAACAAGAACTGCAACCAGTCAACCAATGAGCTTATACGATGAGCAAGGATAGAGTGGACCAGTGGCTGACATTTGGAAGATGCAAAAGTGCAGATCAGTGGCGTTGGCTCGATGGCGGAGCATCCAAGACTGGGGAATGCGAGGACAAAGGGCCGAGAAGACTCCAAAAAAAGACTCGATACGACAAAGCGGGATGTTACTTCGTGTTCTTGATTCCTTTAATTTTACCTGGGGAATTGCTACCTCCTTTTGTATTTG